ACCTAGGTATGTGCCCTTATTGGGAATTGAACCAGCAACCTCTTGGTGTACAAGATGACACTCCAAACAACTGAGCCACCTGACCAGGGCTCTCGAGCTATCTTGAAAGATATTAGGCTATTAAGTAAATATTGTTTAATGTCCTGTCTTTGTTGACATAAAGCTCGATAGAGATGAGATGTCGCAGTAGTCAGTGTAGCCCTCAGGTAACTGTTTACTCAGTGGCTGAGCCTGGGACAAGAGCCAGCTGGATGCTGCAAGGAAGAAGTCCAGAGAACACAGACCATTGTTGTCCTCCTGGGTGAGGGAAGGCAGACGTCACGTGTAAGCCACTTGGGTGACCTGGCGGGTTAGATTTTAGTTCTCTGTGTATTTGATGTTCACTTGATAAAGCCATCTGCTCCCTGGAACCCCTAGCCAGTGGTCTGTGACATTTATTTTGCTGTTTAAAGGAAACTATGCAGCTATCATCTTTCTCCCAATTCTTGCTGGCCCCTCCTCCCCTCCTCCTCTCCCTATATTTCTCTAGGGAAAGCACATTACTAGTTGTGTAACCATGGAATAAATACAACACACTCTCCACTATTTATATTTATCAGCCTCATCATTCACAGCAAGCTTTTCACCAGGTTAGTTTCCTGCCCTGAGCGTGGTATCCCCCCAGCACCTCTCTACTGTCTCCTGGCAATGCCACTTGATCCACGCAGGTTACTTCATAACAACCTAAACAGAACAAGGTATGTTTAGCACAAACACATAACCTGAAGTTCTCTCCAAGATGCATAAAACTCCCGATGTGGTCGTGGTTTGGAGCGTGGAACCCTTCCATCAGTGCACAGAATTAAGCACGGATTGATTTAAAAATAGATCCTTACCTGAAGGAGGTCTTTCAGGAATTCCTTAGCATGCGCCGTTCCTAGGAAATTATGAGGAGGAAAGTCCTAGGGGAAATCAGAACCACAGATATCTTACGATTAGCCATCTCCTCACCCCTGCCAGGGTCCCGCCCCCAATTCCACCTCACCTGGTCCTGACGTTGAGACAAGGGCAGCCAGGGTCCTCGGGGGTGCTTGTGCACGATGTCCTGTGGCACTGGGCTCCTGTGTTTCTTGACAAAATCCTCAATTCTGAGGACGTGCCATCTGAATCCTTGTCTTGGCTTTCACCGGGATGAAAGCGTTGGGAGCTGCTTTCCTCTTGGAGAAAATTAGCATCGTCTTCCAGAGCACATGTGCCTCTGCCGGCCGCCTGCCGAAGGGCGAGACCACTGCTCTGTGTGTCAGGCTGGTGTGCAGTCACGTCAGGAAGCGTGAGTGCTCGTCACGTGACTCCATCAGGGTTGAGAATTGCCAAGAGCACATATCAGCTTAAAAGCCTTTAATGGCAGCTGTGGGGTTGAAGTGTCAGTTCCAACTCTGTGTGACTTCATCCCAAAGAAGAGAAATGCAAATGAGTTGGGTCATGTATATACATGGTGTTCACCCTGCAGAAGCCAGCATCCGGTATGGCCTTTGTCCATTCTTTCATGAGTGGAGTATGCGTGTTGCTATAATGGTGTTAAATGCTCATATGCTCCTGCCTGTAAAAGGCATGTATAGAGTTACTCTGTGTGTCCATGTATGATGCAAAGCACACATCCCCCGCAGGTTTAGGAAACAGAACTGACACGCGTGCTCTAGTTTTGTCTTGTTTTTCTGTGGGCAGATGTTTGCTGTGTTCACACTGCCTTCCGAGCTGTCTGCAGTGTTGGTGCAAATGAATTTGAAAACAGTACTTGGCCAGGCATTCCCTCGAAGGGCTGTGAGGGCGGTCCTGTCAGCCTGCCAGAACTTTCCCTGCGGCTCCTCACTGTGTCTGGCCTCAGGCGACCCTCCTAATGGTTCCCACAAAGGAAGTGGCTCCCATCTCCCCTCCAGGCTCAGCCATGGGCTCTCCAAGCTGGTAGCAAGCTAAGCAGAAGCCATGAGCCACGGTTGCCCCAACTCGCCCCTGAAGTCCCAGGCTCTGACCTCCCCCAGACTCCTCCCTCCCCAACACAGTGTTCCAGGTAAGGAAGTGAAGTCCTTACTCACACTGTCCACTCCTCTCTCCAGCCCTTCCCTGCTCAGGGACTTCTAAGTCATTCTTCCAGATATAAATCAAAATGGAATGGCTTGTGCGGAGCACTGGTTGTCCCTGGACAGTGAGCTCATTGCCTGCATGTACATTGGCTAGTTTATGCAGTTACCTTCCCTGTTAGGGTGAGTCCTGTCCTTTTCATCGCTTCCCTGATGGCTAGCACCGTCCCTGGCCAGGACCACAGCTGATCCCCTAAAAGACGGGGAGGAAGTGAGAGGAGATGTGGCTGGGGACAAAAGAAGGAGAGGGACAAAAGGAGGTCGCCCCGTGTTCCGTATTTGTTCTGACAGTGGCTGGGGTGCAGTGTTGTGGCTGAGACTGAAAGGAGAGGAAGTATGGGTGGGGGCTGGGGCTTTGTTCTACGAAGGTTAAAACGCAGGATTCCAGGGGGCTGCAGGCTTCTGGCACGTCACTCAGTGAACCTTCTCTTCCAGGATGGGGGACCCACAGAGCGATGGGACGCCATGACAGTGGCCTCGCTCACTGTGTTCCTGGCTGGGCTAGACTTGGTGTGATTTTTTTCCCAAGCAATTTCTAGTAGAGCTACCCAAGCCCAGCGAACACAGTCATTCAAGAGCCTTACAGGAACGGGGAGTTTAAAAGGACCCTTTTGGCTACATGGTCTCTGTCGATGCCACTTTCCAGAGCAGTGATTGCTGTCCTGAGCAGCCTGGGGCCTGGCCGGTCCTCCCCAGTGTCCCTGCCGGCGAGCAGCGGCGGGCGGGAGGATTCCCTCCACACAGTGATGACATTCAGCTAAGCCACAGTTTCCTTGACTCAGGAGGAAACCCGTGTGGTTTGGGGTTTGGGGGGGCGTGGATGAGCAAAGTGCAGATATTTTCTCATTGTCCCGTGGCTTTAAATTGCAACCTCTCTTTTAATTTTCCATTATGCCACAAACACATCTGTGCCAGTCGCGGACAAATGTATTCCATCTGGGGGGATGATCCAGACAGCCATAAATTAGAGTCTGTGGACGGAGTTGCCAAAAATGTGGCCACGGGATAGGGTGTCCCTGGGACCAGTCCCCTCCCCCACAGTCTGCTGGGTGGCTGCAGGCCTTGGCCTGACGCCTCTGTCAATAATTTCGCTTTGTGTTTGGAAACTCTTTCCATCAAGTCGCCACGGAGGCGGGCAGGCAGGGGTGTCTCCGAGGCTCTGTGGGCACATCCGCCCCTCGGCCTAGGATGAGGCTTTCCCAAGGGCATCGCTCTCTCTCCCACACCTGAAACAGCAATGACCTTGATGCTGGTTCCCTCCCAAACTAAAGGGAAACTCTCCCCATTTTGTCTTGATCGAGCAAACTACCATATTATACTTTTAAAAACCACAACATTTTAAAACTTAGAAGCGTACTAGGTGCTTACTGCAGAAGACTTAGAAAATAGAACGAAAAGAAAAAGTCAACTGCAGCCCCACCCTTCAGAGATAGAGATTATTAATGTTTTAGCATGATTTCTTCCAATGTTTTTCCATGCGATGCTACCCTTTTTAAAAATAAAAATAAAATCCTTTCAAGCTGGTGGAGCCCAGTGCCTGGGTCTGCCCTCACATTATCCAATTAGTGCTTAACTCAGCGCTGGAAACTCTTAGAGACTCCAGCTGGTCGAGCCGCCCTCTAACTCCTCCTCGCTGAAGTCATGCCACCCTTCTGAGGACCCGGCCACCGAGGGAGCTGGCCCAGAGGGGACAGAGCCCGCAGGAAAGATCCTCAGATTAAACCCAGCCAGCTGGCCCCACGGGGCGGTGCCGGTCTTACAAATAGCCCCCCCGATAGAAGGATCCCGTGGACAAAGGGCCCTGCCGGCCCCTGACTTTGAAATTATTTTTCCTTATTAAACCTTAACCTCGCTGACCACGTCCTTCTGTCTCCCTGTGGGGAGGCACAGCCTCTAGCAGCCTCTACCCTGTTCCCAGGTGAGAGGCCAGGGCAGCCCAATGCTAACTGGAGGGGTTGGCAGAACGAGGGGCTACTTTTACATCTCAGCACCCTTGCCCCGGTGCCTTGAGTCCCAAAGGTGCCCAGTGAATGTCTGTGGATGGATTGATCCGATGAAATTCCAGATGGGTGTGTGTGGACAAGGGTGTGCGGGGCTGGAGCCTGCCGGGGCATTGGGGACCGTCCCGTGGAGGCAGGACAGGCCCCCGGCTTCGGTGGGGAGCCTCACGAGGCCCTCAGAGTGGCCACAGGGAGCAGGCGATGACCCTGCCAGCTGCCAGCCTGCCTGCCGCTGCCCGCGCCAGCCACTCAGCCTCTCCATGAGCCGCAGGGCACACAGACCATGCTTTTTCAGAAAATTATTTTTTCCTTTCTCACTTTCCATGGAAACTCAAAATAGCAACCAAAAAAAAACGGTCAAGCTCCCTCCCCGCCTGCAGGGCAGTGACCGTGACCGAGGAGGCCCCAAGGGAGGGGAGGGGGGTTCAGATGCCTCTGAACCAGCTCTCTCACTGGGCACTGCGTGCCCATGGGGAGTGGGCAGGTCGGAGGTGGTGTGTTTGCTTCCAAATTAGAGAAGCGTGTTTCCCCCGGGTCTTGGAGTTCATCCTGCTCTTGGTGACCCAGGTTGGAAACACTGCCCCCTCTCTGTGTGGCGTTGGCCAGGAGGTCCAGAGTGCCCTTAAGGGACAGGGGGGCAGGCACCGGTGCCTTCCAGGGGGCCCAGGGCTGGGTATGCCCATGACCCCGGGGCAGCCTGCAGAACGGGGGAAACTCCAGTTCCAGCGCCACATCAGGGACCCAGGGGCTCTAAGCACTTCATGTCACCTCCTCTGTGAAACGTGAAGGATGTGGCCTTCCAGCCCCCAGCACCCTGGGGCACCGCTCGCTCCTGGGTACACGCACTTCCCTCGCCTTCTTTATAAAGCTCTCCGCTTGCTTTTCAGCTGGCGGGGTCGGCCGTCATCGCCTTTGGACTCTGGTTTCGGTTCGGAGGCACCATGAAGGATTTCTCATCAGGGGACAGGTCCCCAGAGTACTTCTACTTGGGTGAGTGACGTGCTTCCCTAAGCTTTAGCCAGGACTGCCCCAGAGGCCTGGGGAGACCGTCCTGGACTCCTGGGGAGGGGAAGGGACAGGGGGAAAGAGAAAGGAGAAGCCACGCCCTGAAGACTACACCTGGGCCTGCGGTGGGCAGTGCGATCACATGGTTCACCCCTCTGCTCTCCAAGATCCAGGAAGACCAGTGGGAGGACTGGCCCAGGGTACTGCTCTCAGCCACTTCAGGAAAAGCAGCCCAGAATGAAACTACAATTCATTTCCAAAGAATTTGGAACTCCCTTCTGCCCCAGTGAAGTGGGTATCCACGGTCCATTACCTGCTCAGCCATCTGGAGGGATGGGCCCTGCAGGGTCAGGGTTCTACTTCGTGGTCTTGTATTCTAAATGGTCTATGACAAAAACAGAACTCAACATGAAGAGACAGCTTTGGACAGGGTTTGGAAGTGCTAATGTCAGTCCCTCTGTGACAAGGGACTGCAGAGAACGGGGGCGGGGGAGGGGGCGGGTAGGCAGGAGAGAGGACAGGAGAGGGAGGGTAGGGGAGAAAGGGCAGGGCTGTCCTGGGAAGGAGGCCTCAGTGGGAGAGGAGCAACCGCTCAGCTCCCTGCAGCTGAAGGAACAGGGTGAGGGGCATTGGGTAGGGTGTACCTCCCATTCAGAGACAACGTGCTAAGTGGGCTGAGCTGAGCCTCCCCCTGGGTTTAGAGTTCTCTCTCTCTCTCTCTCTCTCTCTCTCTCTCTCTCTCTCTCTCCTTCCTGGACTCTAGGTTTCACACACCGAGACCACTGTCGGTGCAGGTGATGGCCCTATGCCGCCGCCCCTTTAAGCTCCACGCCAGCGCTGAGTGCACTCGGTGGCATGCGGTGCCTCTGTGCTTGGGTGAGGCTGGTTTCTGCGGAGATCGTGTGCCCCAAACCCCAGGGAGAGCAGGGCTGCTTCCAGGGAGGGACCACGTCCAGGCCCCTAGCAGAGCCAGGGACGTCCTCACGAAGGGCCGCTCCATCTGTGTTCCCCCCTCTTCCATTGCCCTTCCCACCCCACCCCTCCTCTGAGGAGAGCAGCCAGGCTCATGAGGGCACTCTTAAGGGAAAGTAACAGCAAACCTACTAAAAGATGGACAGTGATAAGGAATCCCACGCCTCATCAAGTCTTAGATGCAGCCTTTTTGTAAACACCCAATTATTTTCAGTTCCACTAAGAAAAGAAGAAACGCTGCCATTGTGACTAACAGGCCATGAAACATGCATCCTAATTTCAGAAGGGTTAAAATGTAAAATGGATGGAATGTGGGGAAAGAAACGGGGGTGGGGGGTGGAGAGTGGGGTGGGGAGGGAAGGACTCTCCAGATTTAGCTCAGGGTTCGACACAGTCATCAAGGACACAGGTATTTCTCATCTCCCTACTCGCCACCCCCGGGACCTCACAGGTCCCCTCGGATTGTAAGACAGCCGCTGTGGATCCAAGCATCGCATCCTCATACAGCTGCATCCAAAGGAGAGAAAAGCAAGTTTCACCTCATGCGGCCCTTCTCAGGAATGAATCAGACCTTTGTCAGGAGTCCCCAGCAGGCTTCTCCCTGCAGCTCGGGCCAGAACGGCACGGTGTGTTCATGCCTAAACCGTCATGGCCAAGAAGAGAATGAATGACGAATCGGAGTCCCCCTGGGCCTGGAAAGGGGCCCGGGCTCCCCAGAGGGCCTCTGACACTTACGCTAAATCCGAGTTCTGTTACAAGGAAGAAGCAGAGGAATCTGCCATCTGGCTTAACACAGAATCCCTCCTCTTTTCCACCCACACGGTTTCCAGGTGGTACACACGCTTCCATCCGAGAGCTAGCCTGCACCTTTAGCATATTCTCTCTTCCCGGAGGAAGTCCTGGCTCTGAAGCCTTCGGAAGCATTCCCCTCTCCCAGAGCAGCCCCCAGCCCCCAGATGAAGCTCCACCTCCAGGGACACACGGGCAGGCAGGGGAGGGGAGAAGGAATGCAGTTCCCTCATTTTCCTGATATTCCAGGACCCGCTTATTTCATAACTTGTCCTGCGATTTCTAACTCCATTTTAGCATAAACATAACTCAGTGCCCGCTGGATTGACCACAGCGAGGGGCAATCCACTTTTCAGGGGATTCATGCCTCTCCAGACGTATGTGACATATACAATGACCAGACAAGACCCTCTCTAGCAGGTGTGAAGTGCCAGTGGGTGATTCAGAGGCTACCCCTGAATTAAGCCTGAGGGAGAATGCTGCAGCTGGCGGGATGAGCCTCGGGGTAGAGGGGCGCTTGACCGGGGCCCTGGAGGACGGATAGGCTCCAGGGAGCCTGAGTTCGGGAGAGCCCGATTCAGGACGCTGAGCCAGCATCACAAATAAATGGCAGGCAGCCGCCACCCTTTCCCTCCTGGTTGGCGGTTCTGGCTGATTGTTCAGGATACACTTATAGGGGAGTCTTCTTAACCTTGCTCCTCCCAACCATTCACAATAGTTGCCTAGGGGGACATCATTTTCCCTCCCTGCTCTGAATTCAGTTACTTGATGTTCTAACATGAGGTCAGTCCCAACAAAACAGTGGGAGTCCTTTGCTCCTAAAATCCAGGCATGTTGGCATTCAGGGTATTAGCGTTCAGCCTGTCTGCTCTTCACGTGCTATTGGGTTTGCACCGCAGCCTGTTTATCTCAGAGTCCTCAGGTGTGACTGTCAGGACTTTCCATCCAAAGCCCTCAGGTAGATGGGGAGGAGTCCCCTCAGGCAGAACCCACACCTGGGTAGCATCTACCAGTTCAGTTGCAGTCATACATTCTCCTTCGGGTTGTTTGAATAACTAACCACCTAACACCAGCCACCGCACCACCATGTTGGAGGTTGAAAGACGTCATCACTGTTATGTGATTTCTGAGCTTGACCTGGAAATTTCAGCCACAGTAAAGAAAACTCTATTTTTGTTATTATTATTTTTTGTTAATCCTCACCCAATGAAAAAATATCCATTGATTTTTAGAGTGGGAGAGAGGGGGGAGAGAGAGAGATAAAAAAAAACACATCAATGTGGAGAGAGACACATCAATTGGTTGCCTTCCACACCTACCCAGGCCAGGACTGGGGATCGAGGCCACAACCCAGGTACATGCCCTTGACTGGGAATAGAACCCTCGACCCCTCAGTGTGAGGGCCGATGCTCTAACCACTGAGTCACTGCTAGGGCAAGAATAGCCTTTTTAAAAGGCCACAAAGACCTAGGTGATTTGAAAAAATGTAAAAGAATTCATCTCCCTTTCAACAATGATAAAATCTGGCTGTTAAAATGTCTCCGTGGTTAGTTTAAATTTGGGATTTCACATGGTATTTGGTTTTAGGCAAACATGGTTTTGCATTCAAGCAGGGGTGCCTCTATTCTTTCTGTTTTCTGTAGGCTCCTCTGTTTGGAAAAAATGGAACCTATCCATGGGGACATCAGCCAGCATCTAGAATCCTGGGCTCTGTGGTCACACAAAAAAGTGTGAGGACACTGGACTTGCCCCATGTAACTTGCATCTATTTGAAAAGACTCTCAGATGTGACAGTTTAACTATAATAGGAACTACTGTGTGACGGAATGCCAGAGAAGTGGTGTTTGCAGAGGGTACACCAGGTCACTTCAGGCTGGCGAGGCAGGAAGGAACAGAGTTATGTTTAAAAAACCAGATTGTCATCAAGGGAGAGGATGAAGCATGAGGACTGCAGAGACATTGGGGCCAGATGACAGGCATGTCTGCAGCACAGTGATCAGCCAGCCCTGCTGGGCAGGGGAGCTCAGTGGAATGTAGAGGGCCGGGCATGGTGGGAGGTAAGATTACAGATGTTGGGGAGGCACGGAGGGCAAGTATAGAGGGCTGTGAGTGTTCGGGTTAGTTAATCTGGTAGGGAGTAGAAGACTAATTTAGGGCTCGGGGGAGGTCTGACCACACTGCAATTTTAAAGAGATTCTTTGGGCAGCAATGGATTGAGGAGAGTCACAGGACTGAAGAGAACAAGCTAGATTGAGTAGAGAGTGTAGAGGGGGGCATAAATGGTGATGGAAGGAGACTTGACTTGAGGTGGTGAACACACAATACAATATACAGATGATGTGTTATAGAATTGTATACCTGAAACCTATAAAGTTTATGAACCAGTGTCACCCCAATAAGCTCAATAAAGAACATGCTAGAGTATTGATACAGTCAGACATAAGGGCATAACCCATGATGGTTGCAGTAGGAATTGTGAAGAATGGAACAGAAAACAATAAACATTATCAAACATTACTAAGCATTATTAAACAACTAGAGGTCCGGTGCACGACATTTGTGCTCTAGGGGTTGTGGGGAGGGGTTCCTCAGCCCAGCCTGAGCCCTCTCACAGTCAGGGACCCCTTGGGGGATGTCCACCTGCTGGCTTAGGCCCACTCCCTGCGGCAGTAGGACATCCCCTGAGGGGTCCTTAGTGCTGTCGCGGAGGCGGGAGAGGCTACCACTACTGTTGCTACGTGCCAGCCGTGAGCCTGGCTTCTGGATGAGTGGCGCCCCCCTGAGGGAGCACACTGACCACCAGGGGGCAGCTCCTACATTGAGTGTCTGCCCCCTGGTGTCAGTGCGCATCATAGAGACCAGTCATTCGGTCAGTTTACATATTAGCCTTTTATTGCATAGGCTATTATCAAGCATCATTAAATTCAGGGACAGAAGGAATCAAAAGAACAAATGATACCAGTAATGGAAACAAGACCAGGAGTAATAGTCATGATTTTTAGATGGGAACCTGGATTACAGAACTAAGGGGTCCTGCTTAGTCAGAGAGGGTGGGTGTGTGTGGGGGGGTGAGGGGGGGAGAGAGAATCTACCTCAGTCCAGGGAGTAGCCTCGGTCTCTCTGCTCCAGAAACAAAGAGCCAGTAGTTCCCAGGTGTAGATGTGGGGCCAACACAAGAAAACCTTTCTCATGAAGCTGAGCAGACTTCCTCAGATGAAAGTGAA